TATGGTTGCGAGACCCTAAATTTGCGCTTGGAAGATATTCGTCGTCTGGAAGTGCTCGACTGCAGATGTTTACGTAGTTTGGCTCGGGTTGGATGGAGCGAGCTTGTAAGCAACTCTGATGTAAATCTTCGCGCATTTGGTAATGATTCGATGGAGAATTCGTTGTCCCATCGAATTCAGATTAGTCGGTTTCGCTCGTTAGGACACGTATTGCGCATGCCCAGCCATCGTCTGCCGCACCGCGCCTTATTCGCAGTTGCGGCTCCAGGCTGGAGGAAACCGCGTGGTGGTCAACAGACGTGGAATCGAGGCATGAAGAAATGCACAGAGCGAGTAGAATTGGTGTCTCCCGCCTTCCAGGTTGGGGTCCGAAAGACTCTACAACTGGTTGGCTGGACACATTAAAGGATATGTCGACTAACAGACAGCAGTGGCGTTCTTGTTGTCATTTCTTAACAAGGCAGAATGCCTGAAAAAAGGTATGTATTAACACTTAGATTGTGTGCTCTATGTGCTGAACAGAGGTTATTTTTTGCCTCCCTCCAATCCCTCTCCATCTTGTGCTTTATCGCTTGATTTGTGTACATTGTGAGCTTGGCAGCGATCAGTGAAGCTCGCTTCACTGTATCTCGCTGTACAATGATGATGATGATGATGATCTTCATCTTCGTGCTGAGAAGGCAGAGGGGCCGCCCCTCGTATGAGCCCCTTCACCGCCGGTACCGATAGCAAGCCGCTTAGTGGTCTGCAAGCTGCCATCGTCTCACCAAGTGCTCGTCGAGACGGCGTTTGAAACGCGCCTCGTTTTGCTTTTCCACCACCTCCGACGGGAGTGAATTCCAGAGGTAAGTCGCCCTCCGGGAAAGGCGATAGACCAGAGGAAGCCCCGTTGACTCAAGCTTCCGGAGGGTGAGCCTGTGGCCGCGCGTCCGGTTGCAAGCTCGCAATGGAAACAGAGCACGTAACTCCGGTCCCAGATCGCCACGTAGAACCTTCCACAGGTAGATCAAATCCCCGCGGAGTCTCCTGTAGCTAACGGGGTAGAGCTCGAGTGCCTGGAGCCGACCTTCATAGCTGATGCCGTCAAGTCCCGCGACTAGGCGGGTGGCGTAGCGCTGTACCCGATCCAAGTTGGCCATTTCGGAAAGCGTGCAGGGGTAGACAGCGGGTCCACTGTATTCAAGCCGGGGCAAACATGGGAGGCAAACAGCTTTTCGAAGGCTGTGAACGACAAGCCGTCAAACGACCGACGGATGGCACCTAGCATACTCCTTGCTGTAGAACATGCTCGGGTGGTGTTAATCTGTGTCCCTCTCGATAGTCGTCGAACGCAGTGGGACGTTGTTCATCAGGTAAGGAATATCTGGTGTATTCCGTTCTAGGCGCATATGAGCGCATTTAGACGAGTTCACTGGAAGTTCCCAGACGCCAGCCCAGTTGTGCAACTTGTCCAAATCCTCTTGGAGGGCATAATGGTCCTCTGGTGTTCTCATGGCTCTCCACAGTTTCACGTCATCCACGTAGACGTTGATGATGATAAGTCCAAAGGTTTGTGAGAGTTGAACGCATCGAAATCGTTCCCTCATATGTGTAAGACTACAGGTCTGGCATCTGCAGATAGCCGAAACCGATTTAAAGAAGACTTTACAAATCGCGTACACTTTGATGAGTAAGGAAGTCAAAAGCAATCAATGTAAAAATACCCATTAACCGCCTGTTCATCACCGGAAACATATTCAGTTCATTTCAGTTTGCACAGGACAGAAAATGGCCGCGGCCAATCGAGCGTCCAGAATTCCTTCGGCATAAGGTATTTAAATAGGGAAAATGAAGGGTGAGCTGAGCTATAATATACCTCGTAATATGTAAACAGATCCAGGAAGAAACCGAAAACGACAGACAATACCATTAAAACCAAAGACGAGAAACGAGATCACATTTTAAACCTGTCGTCCGCGTTGTGTTTTGACCTCAACCTCCCGCCGCAGTTCAGTTCAGTTCAGTTCAGTTTGCACAGGACGATGTGTGGTCCGGGCCAATCTTGCGTCCAGATTGATGCGTTGTTGGCTGTTCTTGTGGCTTCCAACACTGCGAGTCAATAGGTTTTTTCTGAAAGGCAGAAAGTAAGGTGCAGTATCACGTCCTGGGCAATGGCGCTCAGGAATAATAGATACTTACCACCAAACTGCTACAGGGNTACAAACGAACATCAGTGAAAACGTCATAAAAATGAACAACGCACCTCGGCGGACACGAGCTAGAACTTCAGATTTAAGCTCAGAAGCTTGATGGTTCTGGGGTTGCACTTTGAGAATATTATCGCAGCACTCGATCGCTTTTTCATATTGCTACAAAAAAATTGCCAAAATAGAAAAACTTACGATGAGTCTAGTGTACGCAACAGCCATGTAAAATAAACAATCTCTCTTGAAACCTTCATCCGCAGTCTTCCGGAATAACTCTGATACATAGAAACAAAATAAAAAGAGTACCTTCCAATAGACCGATGGCTGCTTCGTGATTTTTCGAATTCTTCGTTCTCAAAAGATCCACTGCATAAGCAAACTGCGCGTTAGGGTCAAACCTCCCTGAATTAATGGCTGCATAGTATGTCTCTCTGGAATCCTTTGGCAAGATAATAGGCACAACGGGTTCTTACAATTATAGCGGATTCCGAGACATTTGAGTCCAACAGCTCCATTCCCCACGCGAATACCGAAAGGACGTAAGCGCACAACAGTTCAGTTTAGTTCAGTTCAGTTCAGTTCAGTTCAGTTTGCACAGGACGATGTGTGGCCCAGGCCAATC